GACTCAGTGCTGTCCATGGCAGATTGAGGAGCGACAGCGAAATCACTGATTTGTAAATGTGCCGAGATTACAGATCCACATATAAATTTCTAGCCAGCCCCTACTTGAATCCACACTCAGCCGTCACCACAGAACTGAGGATGAGCAAAATTTGGTACAATCGCATGTACAAAACTGGTGGCTCCCATGGAGCTAACTAGCAACCACTTACATCTATCGGGCTGGTTCGTGAATTTTATTGCTAATGACACATATCAAGCGAGTGCTTCTTTGTTACAGTAGCATTGTACCGATCAACTTCCACCTCAAACCCCGAGTGCCAAGTGTGGCTTTCGTTCCCTGTGCGTTTTCCCCCACCAGTGTATCCGATTTTACCGTGGTCGTAATTCAAGGAAGGATGAAAGGTTTTTTGAAACAATTACATCCCTTTAGTAATTTGAATAATGCCGTAAGAAGATGAACACTGGCAGATGTCAACATTTAGTATTGTCACTTCAGTGCCAACACATACGCAAATCGTTGAATACCATCTACGACTTTTAGCGCATCTACAGACATAGCAGTCATCGCTACAGTTGGCCTCACCGCCTAAGTCACACCTTTCACAACCTGTCCGACAACTATACCATTTCTCCATTGACTGCATCTTTAACAGAATAACTTTCATCCGTAGTGCAGCAGCTTGTATCCTTAGCTCAAAAACTATAATCCGATAGTCACGAAAATTGCATCCACGACGCTCAAATTGAGTCCGCTATTCGCTCGTCTCAAAAGGACATCTCGTATGTTCACTGAGGCTTCCTTTCTGCAGCCGTTTTGACTCCATGCACAACGCGCTCGATCAAGCCATTGGACGCGACCCAGTGTTTCGGACATGTTCATTGCTACATCTGCGTTCGTCCAAGACTGTGCTGACTTTGCCTAACCTTCCCATTACAGGCTTTGAGGTTTGGAGCCAGTTCGTGAGCAAGCCCTTGCTTTCACCCGATTATTGTCCGGTGATGGTGCGCACCTAAACGAGCGGATGGCTGGAGTTTGCAAACCAGATATCCGTTTAAGGCCAGCGGACGGCTGACTTACTGAGTGGGTCGTGGATGGAATTTTCGTGAGTATCGGATTATAGTTTTTTTTGTTAAGGATGCAGGCTGCAGCACTATGGATGAAAGCCATAGTGTTAAGCATGCAGTCCACTGAGAATTGGTATAGTGAATCAACGTTTCCGTCACTGACTGTGCCAACCTGTAAAATAGACGATACCGTAAACGCCTGTTGATCCGAGTCAATACGAGTGAGCTGCATGTTGGTGTCGGATCTACTAGGTTTTAATGAACCTGTTAGTGCATTTGTCCATGGGTCTTCTACCCAAGTCAGACGGAGAAGACGCACACGGACGCACAGGCGATCCTTAGCTGCCGTTCTCACATCAGTGGCATTTCGAGCATTCACGCACCTGCTCGATCAATCAAGTGGTCGGCTGCGTGGAGCTCACTGCATTCGTTGGTTTTGTTCAAGGCCTGCCAGTTGGCTTTCGTCGCACATGATCTGTGGAGGTGACATGGGCGTGATTTGATTGAAGGAGGCGTGAGACATCCATTCCGTTGCCTCAACAGCATTGTTGTAACTCGGTTTTAGTAGCGGTTAACACAGGTCTCATACTGCTGAGTGTCAGCTCTCGGGTTTTGCGGTCACACGGTGCGACCAATGGGCGCGTCACGCAGCAATCATTTTCTTGTTGCGTCTGTGAAATGCTCTTAACTGCCCGTGTAATTGTAGCTAATCATTTCCTTGCGACTTTCCTACTTGTGTACGCCTCATCTATTCACATTCACTAGAGTTCCGGATGTTTTGTGCGCCGTACGTTATCCAGCTGACCGTTGATCCCCTTAAAATAATAGACCGAAATCGGGCATTGATGGGCCTGGATTCGATAGGTGGGTTGCAACCACGTTGCAACACGTTTTATTAATTACACAGACCAGAAGAGACATTAGTGCATGTGCTCGGTCCTACACAACAACGACTGGCTTCAAAACAGTGGAGTTCTAGAGGTCAGCATTTGTGTTCAGCATGCTGTTCGATAAAATCGATAACTCCATCATTCACGATGGATCGTTTTGCATACAGCTGCAAATGCCATGACTGAGGAGTTATGCAGAAGAGCTCCAGCGGTAACTCAAGATATAGTGATGTGTTCACAATCCTCCTCCGTCGCATTTCAGAGCGCTTGCACGGCGGTCATCAGACGCAAATAGCACTTCGCTCATGCTACTCGCGGGTAGAGGAACTCCGTTCATGGTGACAAAATCACCCAAGTGCCTCGTCTGTCTGCTGTACCAAGAATTACAGTAGACTAGTAGGGGGAGTTGAATGGCATAGGTAGAAATTCGTCACATCTAGACTCACTCAGACAGCCGCCACACGCCCGGAAAAGCACTGTACGCGCGTTTCATCCTTTCGGGAATCAACAGCAGTGTGCATTCCATCGGACACTGGTAGGGCT